TAAATGCTTGAAAGAGTTGATAACATAGCTTTGCCGGTCTCTGTCCCATCTTGTACTTCTGTTAGGAAACAATGTGTTTTGTTCGTTTTATTGCTCGTGATCCTTGTCCTCGTTCACATCATTATTCTCAATGTTTAAGTCCATCATCTCCTGTACAACAAGGTGATTGAACATGTTGTTGTTCTCATGTTTGCTACTGTTAACGTCCAAATGTTTTTTTTTCCTTCATCTTGTTTAGTTGTTGTTTGTTTTACCTGGTTAGTCTCCTCATTGTTTTTCCTTTTTCCTTTCTTCTTTTTCACATGTTTCCAGCCCTCTTCTATTTCACTAGTTAAGGCCTCTAGATCTTTTTTGCAGTTCATATCCATATACATCTCTTTTTGCTGAAGCAAATTTTGATTATCAGAAAAAGTTTCAACAGTCATACCTGAATCTTGCGTGGTCTCTTCGATTTTATGCTTGTCATTGTTCTCTTTTTGGGATTCAACTTCTTTAATATTTGCTCTGTTGAAGTTTTGTTTTTAACAGAAGTACAAGATGTACAATGACTGAATATTATCATGGTTAATAGCTCCAAAGATGTCATTTTAAAAAATAAAAGCTAAGTCATCTGAGATGTTGCTGAGGTTTGTCACTAACAACAACTTGTTTTCCTTTGTCTTGGTGTCTTGGTGTTTGCAGTAGGGTGTCTTTGTGTTGTTGGAGTTCAGTTTCCTCTTTTTCCATCATCCTATATTGCGATTTACAGATGTCTTATGAACTGCAATGGTATCTACTGCTACGTCAATTTATTGGGGGATGTAGAATTTAACACTCCTTAGCTGTAAAGTTTTAATAATTTGAAAGGTGAAATATCTAAGGAGCTTGCTATTCTTCCTAAACTTCGTTATCTCCATCTGCATGAAAATAATTTTATTGGATGAATATTAGCGGCATCTATACTATAGCCGCTAAAAGATATCTTTTAGGAGTCGTTTGGTTTGAATACTAGTTATGCTGGGATTAGTTATGCTGGGATAAGTTATACTGTGATAAGTTATGTTGGGATAAGTTATGCTGAGATTAGTTTTTATTGCTTGTTTGGTTTGTCATATTCAAACTAATATTCATTGTATAATTTTTGCGGATAAGTTGTTTGTTTACAAAATACCCTCACCCTATTTTTTTTTTTTTTTTTTACAGTTTCTTTGCAAGCATTAGTTATTCATTCTTAAAAATAAAATTTCCATCTTATTTAGCTTAAATATTATTGTGTGTGCATTTTCATGATTGTGTCGTATGTTTTAAAAATTAAACTTTCATCTTATTTAGCTTAAAAATAAAACATTCATTTTAAGTTTATTAAAGTAAAAGAAAATTTATTAACTATTCCCTCTAGTTTTTCATGCGATTAACTTTTCCCTCTATAAAAAAACCCTACTCCTGCTTAAGTCTAGAGTTATTTGTATATCGCCTCAGGCCCTCAACACATCGCTCAATCAAAGAAATTCATGGTAGCCATCTCCATCCACAGGTAATCCTAAGGTTTTTATTTCATACTAACTCATGATCTTACTGAAACAAACCTTTGATTACATAGTCACTGGTAGGATTTTGGGGTTAAGTTCTGTTAACTAATTGAAAAAATATTGATTTTCGGAACCATGTGAAGTTTCAAGGTTTCACAATTTAGTTCTTAATTTATATTTTCTTGTAGGTTTTACTGGATTCATCTCATCCTACAAATATTTTGATTCCCAGGTATTCAAACAATTGTGACGATTTGTGATTTTATGAAAGTATTTTTTTCTGTATTTACTAAGTGTGTTTATGCCTGCTATTGATTTTAGGGAATTGATTAAATTGATTAGTCTATTTGCTAATGTTACTTTAATTGATGAATATCAATTTCTTTACTTGAATCGACTACATTAGGACCCCTGTTTGTATTGTTTTTGTTATTATTCTTTTTTTGAGTTTGACACTGTTCTTCCTGCTGATTGGGCTCTTCTTCTTGGTAATGATGCTGCCTTGAATCTATCTGTTATGTTGAATTATTTTTGCTATCAGTCGACTACATATTCTGTTGTTCAGTTCTTAGTTGATCACCCTTATTAGGTCTTACACGACATGATTATGATTTTTAGGCAGTCAGAGGATCGGGAGACTATGGTATAGCCCAAAAAAGGATTATTATTACTGTACCTGGACTATTGGACTGATTTGGTTTAACAAGATCAATACAAGAGTTGTGAGTAATAATAATTTTACCTGTATGACTCTGACTTTTCTGGGAATCTGCCTGATCCATTTGTTCTTGAGGTGTCTTAGGTCTCTCCTCATTGTTTGTATTGTTTTTGTTATTCTTCTTTTTTGAGTTTGCCAGTCATATGAACAATTTATTGTATGAACAACAAACCTATAATTGCAGGTAAGTATTGTACTCCCAACAAACTTAGGAAAAATGATACCTAGTTATGGTATGACATTATTTGTTTCATTTAAGTTTTTAAAAGCTTTGTCGTTTATATATTGAAACAACAAGAACCAAGTTAATTCCGACATATAATGGAAGACATCTTATTTGTTAAGTTAGCTTGGTCACTTTGCCTAATTGACTTCTTTTATCGAGCAATTTAGATGCATCATGTACAGTGACATTATTGGGAACGGAAGACAAGTGAAATTATGAAACTTACTGCGAATATAAAAGAATAAGCACCCTCTTTCTAGAAAGTCTCTCTTCCAGATACCTCAAAAACTCTATTCTTGTCTTCAACAGAATTTCTGAGCAGACAAACCATGCATTGATTCCCACATATCCTTTTCAGAGAGTCACCGATATAGACTAATCGCTTTCCACTCAAAAGCTCCAACATTTCTTTGGCATTCAACCTGAAAAGTGAAGTAATACTGTTTTACAAAAAGAACATTACCAAAATTAAGCCTAGCAATGCATAAAAATAAAAGAGGACAGACTTGTACACAACTCATGATATATGTAGGGTCCAGGAATATTACAGTGCTTAGGCTGCCATCTAAAGTTCTGTTAACCATTATCAGGCCTTCCATTTTGATAACAATTTCAGGTTCATACATAGGGTTAGCATCATCTTTCACCCACATTCCATCAAAAACATCACAATGACTCATCACTTCCCACCAAGCCTCTTTCTTTTTCTCATTTTCTCCAAATTCGACCATAAATTCACCTTTTGTCTCTCTTCCTCTTCTCTTTTACTACTTGATCTACTTGAGGTGAGTATATTACCTCAAGACTGATAGTTTCACATGACTACCCTTCATACATTATATTGATTTTTTGAAATTTAACTATTGATTTGCAGTTTGAAGATTAC